GTAGTAGTAGTAGTAGTAGTAGGTAGTAGTAGTAGTAGTAGTAGTAGTAGTAGTAGTAGTAGTAGTAGTAGTAGTAGTAGTAGTAGTAGTAGTAGTAGTAGTAGTGTGCTGCTTGATCCTCGATCCTCCCCTCCTCGCTCACTGTCTTCAAGGGGGGGCTGGCGAACCCCCCAGTGGCGCCACCCCTCCCGGCGGCGAGTCCAGGGGGGAGGCGAGAGGAGGCAGGCCTCCTCAGAGGGCGGGGGCCGCGCCTCCTGAGAAGCCGCCCGCGGCGGCGGCTCCGAGAAGCCCTGCCGCCTTCTGAGGCGGCCTGCCCCCATCGCACCTCCCGCCCGTCGAGGAGACGTCAGAGACTCAGGCTCAGGGGACTCGGGTTGCCCCGACGGGGCCGTCAGTGATTTGAGGCGAGCTCCCGCCAGAAGCATCCCATGAAAGCTCGACCGTCAAGATCCAGAACAGGCTCGTCAGAAGGCGTCGGCAAGCCCGAGTTCTGGCGCACGCGAGCCTACGTTTCCCCGACCCTGCACGCGCCGCCGACCGGTGGCCCCCCCTCACTTGGCACTGCCCGAGGATGGCGTCTCCTCTCACACCGTGTCCTCCGGTAGGCGCGCCAGCGGGCCCACGCCGCGGCGCGCCAGCGGGCCGAACCTGCGGACGCGGCGCTGGCGGGGGTCGCTCCCAGGGGGGGCTCCCTCTGCCTGGGGGCAGCGAGGGGGGGGTGGACGGGCCGAAGGCGCGGCGCGGCGGGGGTCTGAGGGGCAGCGGTGGGAAGGGGGGGACGCGCACAGGGGGAGGGGGGGAACACCGAGCCAGAATCCGCGATGCATCGCCGACAGGTCGGCGATGGGCACCTGAGAGCGCGTGCGCACGCTTCTGGGCGGGTCAGGCCGTCGGGAGCCTGTCGGCGATCCATGGGCGCTTCGGGGTCGATGCCTCCTTTACCAGCCTCGAACGTATCCCTATCCCTAAGGTTGACACGCCAGAAGGCGATGACAATCTTAGGGATTCGCCCTCAAAAAATAAGGGAATCCCTAAGATTGGCATCGTGACGAGGAGGTGCCCAGCATAGGGATAGGGATATGTTCCAGGCTGGTAACTCCTCCCCCGAGCACGTCCCCGTCCCCGAATGGTCTTCGGTTCACGAGTCTTCGGTTCACGATCGGGGGGCCCCACTGGGCCCGCACCAAAGGTCACTCCAGCGAAAGGTCAATCGTACGTCTAGTCGACCGAATGGTCTTCGGCTCACGAGGCGGCTCTCCAGCGGCCGTCCGGGAGGATCTGGGCACACCCCGCACGCACTCGCCGGGGCGCGGCCGCCGGAGGGCATCCCGAGACTGGAAGGTCACCCGGCTGGCCATCGCTCGGACGTCCATTCCCTGTGTTGTTTTGGTTTCGTGCGTGGTTTTTTCGCCAAATGATCAAGGATGCTCCTCGATGGTTCTCGCCGAGGGAAAAATGCACACGTCCGAGCGATGCCAAGCCCAGGACCGACGGAATCGCACGAAAACCTCAAACTTCGAACCCTCAGCGCTACCCCCCCCTGAGCTGAGGCTATCCACCTTTCGCGTTGCCCATCCCCTAAGCATTTCCCCCCAAACGTTGCCCTGACCCTTGCCCAATTCGACCCAGGCCTTCGGCGCGGGGTCCGCGGCGTGTGGTCATAGGGAATTCGGGAGGTTGGGGCGCTTCCGCAGGTTCTCCTGCCTTGGGATGCGCTCCAGCAGCGGCCGCCGAAGCGGACGTTTCCGCGGGTTCTCCTGCCTCGGGATGCGCTCCAGAAGTTGCACCTCGCCGAGGGTGCTCGTGGAGTGCCAGGATCGCTCGAGCGGCCGCCGAAGACCCGAGCTACGGCCAGAAAGTCAAGTATCCAGAGGAGGGCCCGTGTGGTGAGTCGGTGGGGGCTCGGGGTGACCGCACAGTCTTGTAACGTGGGTCGTTTTCCGAAGCTGTCTCGGGCGACCGGGGCCTCCGGGGTGCCGAGACCGTGCGGTAACGGACCGTGCGTTGAGGCCTTGTGAGAGTTCGATGTCACCGCCCGGTCTGTCACCGCAGCGGTTTGGGATCCCCATCGAGTCCTCCCTCATCATCCTCAAGCTTGTTCGGGGCTCAAGCTTTGCGGTTCGTACTGGCACTGCATGCAAAGAGGCCTGAAGGCATCGGTGGCCCAGGATCGTGTCTGCCCTTTCAGCGTGTCTGCATGGCTGGCAAAGAACAGCTCGAATGCTATCAGCGGACCCCCTCCTTCCCAGACCTCCTCTGGAGGCCTCCCACATGGGGTCCGAGTAGCTGGGGTCAGAGGGACGCTCCGCATCGCCGATGCATCGGCGATGCGACGGGGATGCGGAGGCGACGTCGGCGCTGCATCGGCGACGTCGGCGCGGAAACATATGGCTCCACGGCGAGCCGCATCGCCGATGCATCGGCGATACGGCGCGATCCTCCGACACCATCAGGAGGCTGGGGGGCCCTCACTGGGCCGCGAGGCCGTCAGCAAGGCACGACTCAGGACGAGCGCTGGGCACGGGGAGGGGGGCCAGAGTCTGGACCCTCTTCTGACCCACGCCATGAGGCAGAGGTCACCACGTCGGAAGTCTGGGCGCCCCTCCACCCCTCTCCCGATCCGCATCCTCGCCCCCGGTGGCTGGCAACCTCGCTCGTTCCACCTCTGCTGGCCAATTATACCTTGCTGTTGCATTTGGCAGGCCCCGCCCGGACTGCCAGCGAGCCCTGGGCACGGAGGGCCTGGAGGGCCTGGTGCGCCGATTAGCGCCGCCCACTCCACAGAAGCTGCGGAACACTCGCGGCAAGCGGATTGCCAGGATTGCGAGTCCACACTGCCGCTGCTTCGGCTAGACGTAAAGAGTGACCCTGGGTAAGAGTGGCCTCTGGTGCGCAGCTTCTGGGGGCGCGAGGGAGCCAAACCCAGGGCGCGGGCCGCTTACATCGCATCACGCTCGGCGATCGGGGGGAGCCCGATGAGCCCGCACCAGAGGTCACTCCGGCGAAGGGTCACTCTTACGTACAGTCGGCTGCTGCCCGCCTCGCACCCTGGAGGCTGGCTCTCGCACTCGACGGGGCCCTGCCCGCGCCCTGCTGGGGGGAGGAGGAGAAGGAGGAGGAGGAGGAGGAGGAGAAGGAGAAGGAGGAGGAGGAGGGGAGGAGGACGAGGCGGAGGAGGAGGAGGACAAGGAGGAAGAGGAGGAGGAGGAGGAGGAGGAGGAGGAGGAGGAGGAGCAGCCGCACACCCTGCCCGCGACGGCTGCCCGCCGCCGCCGCCCGAGGCAGCATGTGCCCCCTCCTCGCGCCGCCCCCGCGGCCGCGCGACGGCCAGGAGCGGGCCTCCGAGCTCCGTGCCTGCCCCCGGAGAAGCAAACAGGAGGAGAGGAAGAGTGAAGGGGCCCTGCCTCCGAGCTCCTCGCGTGCCCCAGGAGAAGCAAGAGGAGGAGAGGACGAAGGAAGGGGCCCTGGGACACACAAACAGATACACACACACACACACACAAATCACAGGATTCCCATAACTTTTCTCGCATTTTCTGGGTTTTTGTCTTCCCCCCACCCCCCCTTCCCACATTTTCCCATACTTTTTAAGGAATCGGCGATTCATTGTGCCTCTGTGTGTGTTTTCCCCCCCAGAGGAAGAAGCGGCACAGGCCCTAAACCCTCGAGGCCTGGGCGCACGCCACGCAGCGGCACTCGGGCCCCCGGGCGGGCGCCCCCTGCCCCCGGGCGCGCTCCGCGCGCCGGCGCCTGAGCCGGTGGCTCGCGGAGAAGAGCAGGCGCACCAGGTTGAAGGCAAAGAAGCCGATCCACACCTTGGTGTCGGGGAGACGTAAGACCCGGGTACGGGGGACTCGGAATCCCCGACGAGGTCGTCAAAAAAATGACGAGGCCGAGCCTGCATTTTGACGAGGCCTCTCGCTGCAGACATCCCACAAAACTCCTCCTCGTCAAAATCCGAGTCGCGGTCGTCAAAAAACGATGGCGAACCCGAGTCCCGGCAAACCCGGGTCTTACGCTCCCCCGATAGTGGGCCGTGGACAAGGTGGAGTGAAAACGTCTAGTAAGGACGCGTGGCAAGGACGCGAGACCCCTGGAGGCGGCCGAAGTTGAAGAGTGTGCTGGGCTGCGGAAACTGCTGGGGACGGGCCGCGGAGGCTGAGGCGGGCAGGGACCCAAGAGTACCCCTGAAAAAGTCGTTTGTCCTTACTATGCGCGTTGACTGTAGGGCATTCCCCATCGCTTCAACAATACCTTGCTCCGTACAGTTGAAGCTGCCAAAAGGAGGACTCGCACCGAAACCGAAACAGGACCGGCTCAAATCGGACCTGGAACCAAAGCCGCAAAAAAAACAGCGACGGGACCGGCAAACCAAAAATTGCAGAACGGAACTGGACAGGAACGGCCCCATCCTTCTCCAGGGCCCACTGAGACACAAAGGTCAACCTAAACAATGTTTTCCGTTTTCGGTTTGTTTACGTTTCTTCGAATTTTGTTTTCAATCTTCCTTTGCTGAAGAAAACGCAGTCGAAACGAAAACGGCCTCTCGAAATCGCCACAACACCATTGGGGCAGACCCCTGCTGAGACCCACACCCCCGCGACGCCGAGGTCCCGGGTCAAGGCCAGGATGCACAGCATTAGCAGGCACCCCAGGGACGCGCTGCAGGCGAGCCACCTGTGCGCGCGGAGGCCCTACAACGTCGCCGTCGCCGTGGCCGTCACCGTCGCCGTGGCCGTGGCCGTCGCCGTCGCCGTCACCGTCGTCGTCGTCGTCGTCGCCGTCGTCGACGTCGTCGTCGAGTTCGAGATCTAGATCGAGGTCGAGGTCGAGGTCGAGATCGAAATCGAGACCAAAGTCGAGGCCGAGATCGGCGTCTTCGTCGTCGCCCTCTCTGTCGTTCTCGCCCCTGTCGCCGTCGTCGTCCTCCTCGTCGTCTCTGGCGTCGTCGAAGTCGAGGTCGAGGTCGAGGTCGAGGTCGTCTTCGTCGAGGTCGGGCCGCCTGTAGGCGCGGAGGCCCTGCAGCGTGCCCTCGCCAGCCATCACGGCCCCCGTGACGATCTGGAGCAGCGCGGCGATGAGGGACGGCAGGCGGGTCGCCTCGACGACCATCGACGACGACCACACGACGACGACGACGACGACGACGACGACGACGACGACGACGACGACCTCGACCTCGACCTCGGCCTCGGCCTCGACGACCGCACGACGACGACGACGACGACGACGACGACGACGACGACGACGACGACCTCGACCTCGGCCTCGGCCTCGACGACGACGACGACGACAAAGAGCACGACGACCACGCTGCGGCCGCGCCAAGAGCACGCTGCGACAACGCCGCGGCCGCGCCCAGGAGTGCGCGCAGAGGGAGGCGGGGGCCCGGTGCGCGGCGCGGGGCGCCTCCTGCACCGCCTTGACGGGCGTCATCAGCGGCACGAGGGGCAGCGTGAGGAGCTGGCAGATGCACAGCGCCACGCCGAGCAGCCAGCCCCACAGGGAGAGCCGGTCGGCCACCTCGCGGGCGCGGCCGCGCCGGGGTCGCCGCAGCAGTTGTCTCTGTCTCTGCTGTTGTACTGGTCTTGATCTTAGGTCTTCGTCTTTGTCTTTGCAGTTGTCGTCGTCGTTGTCGTTATGTGTGTGTGTGTGTGTCTTGGTTTGGGTCCTTATCTTTGCCCTCGTCGTCGATTTCGGCGTCGTCGTCGTCGAAGCCGAGGCCGTCGTCGAAGTCGGGGTCGAAATCGTCGTCGTCGTCGCCGCCGCCGCCTCCGTCGATTTCACGCCGCTGGACGCTCCCGCCATCGGGGGGCCGTCGCAGCCGCCATCGTTCACGGTGTCGCCGCCGCCGCAGTCCTGGTCGCCGTCGCCGATCCCGAACATCCGGCGACATAAAATTGTCCAAGTCGCGATCCAAAATCCGGACGCCCCAAATGGATATGCAAAAAAATCGTCAGTGCCCAACACCAAGGGTTGCCCCCTAAACCGACAGCGGCCGCCGTTGGGCAGGCGGCCTTCTGCCTCGAAGGAACAACGCCCGCGGTGACGCCAACAACGAACCTTCCTCAAAATGAACAAGAACTGCTGTCGGCTTTCGTAACTGATTTTCCGTACCCATGTCAATCGTGCCGACCAAAAGTCCCAACCGCTTCCCTGGGGGTGGCTTTTAGTTTCCCGCATCCTCTTCAGATTGTTTCTCAGCGACAACGCAGCCAAACAAAGTTCACACATGAAAGAGCCCGCTTACGAAGAAAAATGTAACTTGAAATCGTACAATCAAGTCCTCCGGTCCGTGTTCGTCATACCCAAAGCGACAGTCACCCGGAACGACGCTGCACTAGGAAAGCCAGATGATCCACCAGCACAGCCTTCAGGCCGTTCTGTCCATGCTGCACCACACTGTGCCAGCTGCCAGCCGAGAAGCGGATCTGAATAATCACCGAACATCGAAGCACCAACTTTCATGCTAGACACAGCGGTGCAGGTCCATGCAGGCAACCCGGTCATCACCGCAGCTCCACGGTGCGGCGCGTGGGTGACGCTGACGAGGCGGGTGCGTGGCAGAGGCCCCCAGGGGGCCGGGCGCGGGGGCCCGAGGGACGCACCCAACAAGAGGAAGGAATGAGCGCGAGGACACTTCACAAACACGTGACGTCCTGTCGCGTCTGGCGGTACGTTGGTTTCCGCTCAGTCCAGAAATAGGTTGCACATCAAAACCGCATCCGGGTTGTATTCACGATACACGTGATCACGTCTTAGTTTGATGACAGACCAGAGGCTTCGCAACCGTTGCAGCGCATCTCATCTGTAGTTCAGCTGACAAGCCACCACAAGATAATCTAACAAGAAACGGATTCGCGGAGCAGAGTTTATTCAGACATGCTCGACGGGGATCTGCACTCTTGCTTGCTTGCGTACACCGCCTCATTCTTATTTTAGGGAACGAGAAGCCGACATAAACATAATAGGCGCACAGTTTCCGATTGGGCGCCCGCCTCTGCGCGCGGGCTGGAGCGCGAACCTATTTGATCGGGGCGCGCAGACAGATGTGCCCGCGTCACCCCACTCCAACACACGCCCGCTTCCAGGGCGTCAACGACTTCGAGGCGGCAATCTCCAGGGACCGCCAGGCGTCGGAAAACAGACCCGGCGGGCGAGCGGAAAAACCGAAAGTCCTCGCCGGCGGATTTCCCAGAACGGTTCTCACTTTTCTTCATGTCATTCGGACGGTTCGAGCGGCAACGCGCGTAACGCGATCTGGAGTTTTATGTAAATCCCACGTGCCCTGTGTTTTATGTCAATCCAAAGTTTTATGTCACCCCAGGACACCCAATGACATAAAAGAAACCAAGAACCCTGCTCCGCACACCTCAAAAAACCATCGCGGATAGGTTGGTGCTTGATTTTTGGCGCGGCAATGACGCAGGGGAGCTACGGCAGCAACTGCTCGCCCTATACAGGCCGTTTGCGCACTTGGGGGAACTGCGGCATCACGGACGAACTGGTGCGAGCATTGGCCTATGTTTGTTGCGAATCGGTATCTGCCGTTTTGCGCAAAATTGCGCCAAAAGGGTACTGTTATTATGTTTATGCGGTCGTTTTGTTCCTGATATTTGATTCTGCAAGTCGCAACTTGCAATTGCACGTTAGTCGCCGTTTTGAAGCCGAGCGCTGCCGCATGCTGCTTGGCGCGGCCCTGCGGCCCCTTGGCGGAGGGCAGCTCCGTCCGGGGCGTATACCACCCATCCCCGTGTCAGAGGTGGGCGCGACCCCCGCTCTCGGGGGCCCCGCGCCTCTCCGACCCTGCCAGCCCACGGGGGCTGCCAACCAACTATAGGTCATCATTGAGGCGCCGCACGTGGCGGAGCACGTCGTCGTGAAATGAAAACCGGCGCCCTTGCAACAGTAATCGCAGGAACCGTGCGATGGCAGCTGTGAACGTCCACGCCTGCTGGATTTGTGAGCCGCCCCCCAGCCGCTCCTTCAATCACAATTGAGGCATTGTCAAGGAGCACGCTGAGGAAACACGTTGCTATGCACGGAATGTACCACCACGCAGGTGCCACGATCTGTGCCGCTGGTGATCGCTGGCGAACGATCGAGAGTGCACGCTGCTGCTCCCCTGCAGAGCACGGGGGGCATGCAATGCATGGTCATTCCACCACTGATCAACCTTCCCATGGAAGCAATGCGGTGCCTGCCCAGAAAAGCGGGTGGAATGCCACACAAGGCGAGCTGCACAAGCTGCCATGGCATTCCTCGGGCAGCAAGCCAGGCCTCGACTAAATGCGGCGCAGTCGATAGTTGCGCGCATATTTTGGCACAGCAGACGTGAAGTACTGCAACTGCGGGCGTCCACACGCGCGGCTTTGACTTTCTTTCTGGACCTCGGTCACTGTGAACCTGTGATGTTGTAGAACGCACAGCGTGCTGGGGTGTAGGACATCGGTGGTCTTAGCACAGTCACAGCCTAAACCCTGCGCGCCCAAGAATCAACCTGAGATCTGCCCAAGCATCCAGGACCTTCATGCTGGAGCGACTCGACAATAATATGCAACCTTGGCCCAAGTAGGGGTCCACAGCATCAACCAACGTTTCGAATCGACCTTTGGCGTGGCGAAGCGCGGGGGATTGACACCACCGCACTCTCTTGAAGAGGAAGAAGGCCATCCCACAGATGCTAGCTATTGTCCTGCCGTCCAGGATTACACAATTGCTCACGCAGGATGGCAGGCAAGCAGGACGCCGCGTGTCCAAAAAAGGCACGTGAGCAGTACTCCTGCTCAGCCACATCCGCAGCCTCGAGGTGGGGCAGGGCGGGCCGAAGACGAGGAGCGAGAGGGAGAGGAGAGAGGAGGCGGAGGGAGGGGACGAGGAGCGGAGGGAGACGGAGAAGAAGGAGCCAGGACGGCGGACTGGCCAAAGCCAGCCGAAGAAACGTGCCAGCCGAACGCGCGCCAGGCCAGCCGACGGGCGGCGAGGCTCGGCCGAAGGCTCCCGTTGGCCGCTGCACGCCCCAGGCGCTTACCGAGAGGTTCTTGCACCGCATCCTCCTCCTCCTCCTCCTCCTCCTCCTCCTCCTCCTCCTCCTCCTCGTCCTACCCCTCCTCCTCCCCTCCTCCCCCTCCTCCTCCTCGTCCTCCTCCTCCCCCTCCTCCCCCTCTTTCTCCCCCTCCTTCTCCTCCTCCCCTCCTCCCCCTCCTCCTCTCCTCCTCCTCCTCCTCCTCCTCCTCCTCCTCCTCCTCCTCCTCCTCCCTCCCCCTCCTCCGCCCCCTCCACCTCCTCCTCCTCCTCCTCCTCCTCCTCCTCCTCCTCCTCCTCCTCCTCCAAGCCAGTATCCCAAGGATTTGTGCTTGCGGGCGATTTTGGAGAAGATGGTCACAGGTGTTCGAACGGGTCGGGCTCGTTCCAGGCAAGGGCCCTGTTTGGAAGCCCAGCGGGTTTGTGCTTGTTGTCGAACTGCCCCGTGGCGCTCTCGAATTTGTGACTGACACGGAGAACCACCAGCACAGAATCAGCAGCACCAACATTCAATTTCCAATCGTCGCAAAACCCCCATCTCTGACACGCCTGGCAAGCGGCCCACCCTAAACAGGAATAGGTGAACGGCTATGATGTGCAAGGACGCGCTCAGTGGGTGGCCCTGGCTGAACCCAACACGCAAGTGCACTGCGGGAAACAGGCCGCAGTTGAAACTCAAGAACGCACGGTTCTTATGCATCAACTGTTGGATGCCGTTCGACGGGCTCCCTGGAAGCCGGGCCCTGGTCGAAACTGCAAGCTCCCATGCCCACGATATGAAATCAAAGCCTTTGCTACAATCCAGGAATAACAAGTCACGCGAAGTAGTTGTGTTCAGCTGCGCTCGCATGATGGCTTCAATGATTCCGATGACGTTGCGCTCGATCTGCCCTCCAGTCATGAAGGCTTGCTGTCTTGGCTGCAACTGCGCAGCGCAGGCGCGATCAAGTATGCGAACGAACATACGGCCACGAATATTCGCGCCCCCATTGGGCAACTATAGATCGTGAACTTGCCTGACGCTGTCTGCGCCTGCTTGCTTCGGCATGGCAAGCCAAATATGGTATGTTAAGTGTTCGGGCGCATCAAGTCTACCAGCAGTCAGAGCGTCAACGGCATCGGCGAACGCCGAAGCAATCGCGCTAGCACGGAAGGACATCCTATAGTGCCCCCTCGCACTCCAGACGTGCCTGGGGCTTTCTTGCCAGACAGGCTCCACAAAACATGTCGACGACCTCGCATCCACTCCGGATGTTCCCCAGGCCCGAAGATCGGGAGCGGCCAAGAGGGGGGGGTCCAAGCGGGGGGGGGTGCAAATCATGACCAGCGGCACGTGCGCGGCCCAGCGGGGGGACCAGGGACGTCATGAAGCAAGGGGAGGCGCCATGACATCCGGGGAAATGTCATGGCCCCCGCCATGGTATCCACCCCTCCCCAGTCCTCACCCCCCTCTCTTTTGAAGGGGCCCCAGGACACACAAGTAAATACACACAAATAAAAAGGTTCCCCATATTTTCCCATATTTTCTGGGTTTTTGTCTTCCCCCCCACTTCCCATATTTTCCCATCTTTTCTGGGGGATCGCCGATTGATTGTGTCTGTGTGCTTCTTTCCCTCCCGATCTTTGCCGCCCCCGAGAAGAGATGGGCCCCAGGGGCCGAGATCCGAGACGAGCTGCCCGGCTCCTCGGAGACCTGGGCCCGCCGCCGCCGCTCTGGGCACCGCTCGGACGTCCACTCCCCGTGCTTTTTGTTCGGTTTCGTGCGTGGCTTTTTCGCCAAATCATCAAGGATGCTCCTCGATGGTCCTCGCCGAGAAAAAAAAATGCATACGTCCGAGCGATGCCAAGCGCTGTCGCTCGTCGCCGCCGCCGCCGCACCCCGGCGGGAGCGCTGGCGGGCCGCCTCCCGCGCGGCGGCCGGGCCGCCGCGCCCGAGGGCGGTCGGGACCATGCCGGAGCCGGCGGTGCCTGAGCATCGTGTAACCGATCCCTGTCCCCGCTGGCGTGGCCTGGGCCCAAGTGGCCGATGTACCCCCCTTTTGGTTGGGAGTGTAGGCGGCTTCCTTCGAGTTTCGGGGGGGGCTATCCCCAACTGGGGTGGTGGGATGGTGGGGCTGGGATGCCGTGGCCCGGTGGGGACGGGGATAGGTTAGACTATGCTGAGTGCCGAGCGCAATGAGGATGTAGCCCCCGAGGTTCCAGAACTGCAGCGTCACCTGATAGGCAGCGGCCTGCACTCCTGACAGGGGGCCAAGACCCCCTCACGTCGTGAAAACATCACGACGGGACGCTTTTCCTGACTTTCGGCCACTGGGTGCCCTCACAGGGCCTCGGGGCCGTGACAGAAACTACCCAGAATGAAAAAACTGCCACTGGGACGGGATCCCGACCTCTCGGGGCCCACGTCATGAAACAAAAACGCGACGTCGGAGGTCTGCGAGGAGCAATAGGAGGCAAAGGAGGGTACGCAGAGGGCATCTACGCACCATCGCCGCGCAGGGCTTGGGCCATCTGGTGCCCTGGCATGGTGTGTGCGCCCACGGGCCGGGACCAGGAAGGTCCACGCACTGGCGTGAGGGCCAGGATGGCCCTGGCCTGGCACGGTAGTGGTGCATGGACGACTTCTGAAGAGAGGAGGAGGAGGAGGAGGAGGAGGAGGAGGAGGAGGAGGAGGAGGAGGAGGAAAAGGAGGAGGAGGCGGAGGAGGAGGAGGCGAAGGAAGCGTAGGAAAAGGCACGGCAAGACAAGGCAAGGGCGATCGGAGGTCCTGAGCCGAGGCTGCTACGCTTGCTACTAAACCTGCTGCACGTGGGCGTGCGGATGCAGAGGGCCATGGTCATCAAACGCAGGGCCTGACTACATCGCAGCACTGGCAGGAGCAAGAGGGAGGAAAAAGGGTGGGAGGAAAAAGAAGGAATGAGTGACGGGAACAGGAAGCATGGGAGGAGAAAGAGGGAAGACGCAGGACGGAGGATCACTGGCCAGTCCTCCAGGTCTACGAGCGGGCGGACCGCCATTAGACAGTTCATCGGATGTTGGCGCGCGGGGTGGGGATAAGGGGGGCAAGTCGTGTACATGTGGGTTGTTATGTGTTTGTTCGTCTTTGGGATTCTCAACCATCCTGTGGTGCTGGGTCCTCGTTTTGAAGAGACAGCGCCCCGCGTTTGCCTCTCCTCCTCCTCCTCCTCCTCCTCCTCCTCCTCCTCCTCCTCCTCCTCCTCCTCCCCCCCCTCTCCCCCCTCCACCCTCACATCATCATCATCATCAGCATCATCATCATCATCATCATCATCATCATCATCATCATCATCATCATCATCATCATCATCATCATCATCATAATCATCATCACCATCATCAGCATCAGCATCAGCATCAGCATCAGCATCATCATCATGATCATGATCATGATCATGATCATGATCATGATCATCATCCTCATCATCATCATGGTTGTCGTCGTCGTCGTCATCATCGTCATCATCATAGTCATCGTCATCATCGCCATCGTCATCAACATCCCCATTTCGGCACACCCCTCAGGGTTCGTGGCCCCATAGGGAGCTCCACCGAAGGCCCCAGTGGCAGGGTCCGCATGGCACCGCCGCCCTATTTCGGCAAACCCCTCACACGGTTCGTGGCACCATAGTGAGCTCAACCGAAGGCCCCAGTGGCAGGGTCCACATGGCACCGCCGCCCCATTTCGGCACACCCCTCACAAGGTTCGCATCCCTCACGGGGTTCGTGGCCCAACAGGGAGCTCCACCGAAGGCCCCAGTGGCAGGGTCCGCATGGTACCGCCGCCCCATCTCGGCACACCCCTCACACGGTTCGTGACCCCATGAGGAGCCCCATCGAAAGCGGTACCCACAACGCGGTTTTCACAACTGCGTATGATTGGGTCCTTTGCCCGGATAATTTTGATTTTCCCAGGTTCAGCTGTTGATTTGTCCAAACCATCATGTGGCTTTGGGTCCTCGCTTTGAAGACACAGCGCCCCGCATCAATTCATCCCGCCCTCCTCCCCCGCCTCCCACCTCCCACCTCTTTGCTTCTGCCCTTCGCACCAATCAGCCATTTCGGCACACCCCTCACACGCTTCGTGGCCCCAGAGGGAGCTCCACCGAGGGACCCAGCGGCTGCGCTCGTACGGCACCACCGCGCCCATTCCAGCGTACCTAACACACGCTTCGTGACCCAATACCTAGGGAGTTCAACCGAGGACCCAAGTGGCTGCGATCGCATGGCACCACGGCGCCCATTGCGGCACACCCCTCACACGCCACGTGGCCTCATAGGAAGCTGCACCGAGGGCCCCAGCGGCTGCGCTCGCATGGCACCACCGCGCCCATTTCTGCGCACCCAACACACGCTTCTTCGCCCCACAGGGAGCTCCACCGAAGGCCCCAGTGACTGCGCTCGCATGGCACCACCGCGCCCATTTGGGAACATCCCTCACACGCTTCGTGGCCCCATATGCAGCTCCACCGAAGGCACCAGTGGCTGCGCTCGCATGGCACCACCGCGCCGATTTCGGCGTGGCCCCAGAGGGAGCTCCACCGAGGGCCCCAGTGGCTGCGCTCGCATGGCACCACTGCGCCCATTTCGGCACACCCCTCACACGCTTCGTGGCCCCAGAAGGAGCTCCACCGAGGGCCCCAGCGGCTGCGCTCGTACGGCACCACCGCGCCCATTCCGGCGTACCTAACACACGCTTCGTGACCCAATACCTAGGGAGTTCAACCGAGGACCCAAGTGGCTGCGATCGCATGGCACCACCGCGCCCATTTCGGCACACCCCTCACACGCCACGTGGCCTCATAGGAAGCTGCACCGAGGGCCCCAGCGGCTGCGCTCGCATAACACCACCGCGCCCATTTCTGCGCACCCAACACACGCTTCTTCGCCCCACAGGGAGCTCCACCGAAGGCCCCAGTGACTGCGCTCGCATGGCACCACCGCGCCCATTTGGGAACATCCCTCACACGCTTCGTGGCCCCATATGCAGCTCCACCGAAGGCACCAGTGGCTGCGCTCGCATGGCACCACCGCACCGATTTCGGCGTGGCCCCAGAGGGAGCTCCACCGAGGGCCCCAGTGGCTGCGCTCGCATGATGGCACCACTGCGCCCATGTCGGCACACCCCTCACACGCTTCGTGGCCCCAGAGGGAGCTCCACCGAGGGCCCCAGTGGCTGCGGTCGCATGGCACCACCGCGCCCACTTCGGCGCAACCTCACACGTTTCGTGGCCCCAGACCGAACTCCACCGAGGGCCCCAGTGACTGCGCTCGCATGGCACCACCGCGCCCACTTCGGCGCACCCTCACACGTTTCGTGGCCCCAGACCGAACTCCACCGAGGGCCCCAGAGACTGCCCTCGCATAGCACCACCGCGCCCATTTCGGCACACCCCTCACACGTTTCGTGGCCGCAAAGGTAGCTCCACCGAGGGCCCCAGTGGCCGCGATCGCATGGAACTACCGCGCCCACTTCGGCACACCCTATCACACGATGTGTAGCCCCATGCGGAGCTCCACCGAGGGCCCCAGCGGCTGCGATCGCATGGCACCACCGCCCCATGTCGGCACAGCCTCACACGTTTCCTGGCCCCACAGGAAGTTCCACCGAAGGCCCCAATGGCTGCGCTTGCATGGCACCATTCGGCACCCCTGGCACGACTCGCAGCCCCATGGGGAGCTCCACCGAGGGCCCCAGCGGCTGCGCTCGCATGGCACAACCGCCACATGCCGGCACACCCTCACACGTTTTCTTCCTGGCCCCACAGGAAGCTCCACCGAGGGCCCCCGTGGCTGCGCTCGCATGGCACGGCTGCGCCCATTTCGGCGCAGCTCTCACACGCGTCGTGGCCACAATGGGAGATCCACCGAACACGATGCTCACAACGTCGTTACTGACAACTGCATATGGTTGGGTGTTTCACCAGGCTAAGTGTTGTTTTTTGGTTTCTACAATGCTGGTTTTTCAACACCCGCCCTCCCACCACGACCAGAAGGAACCCAAAAGGAACCCGCGTCCGCGCAAACCACGATCCTCCTCGCCACAGCGAACGGCCAGGGGGGCATCCAAAACGTCCTGAAGCAACACTTAATCCGCCGATCTGGCGTGTGAGTTTCTGAGAGCGTGGGCTTGAGCTCGCTCAAGCCTCGCTCTGCGGGGGGGGGACCTCATTTCCGACCTAATTCCGACCTAATTCAGTGCTTCGCCCGGGGGGGGGGACCTCATTTCCGACCTAATTCCGACCTAATTCAGTGCTTCGCCCCCCCCCCCCCCCCCCTTCCCAGAGCGGAATTTCCATCCCCTGCAGAACGCCCCCTCCCCCCTCCTGCAGCCCAGCCCCCCCCCCTCCCCTGCAGAGCGGACCCCGCCCCTGCAGCGCACCCCCCGCCCCACTGCAGAGCGCCCCCCCCCCCCCCCCCCCCCCCCTGCCCCTGCACCCCCCCCCCCCTGCAGGGGGGCTCGAGCGGGGACGGAGGGGGGGGTCGACCTCGAGCGAGGGGGAGGGGGAGGGGGTAAGCGCGGGGGGGGAGGTCCAAGAATCGAAAGGGGGGGGGGAGCTCGAGCGAGGACGGGGGGGGGGTCGAACGGAGGGAGGGGTCGAGCTCAAGCGGGGGGGGGTCAGCGCGGGGGGGGGGTCCAGGAATCGAGAGGGGGGGGATGAGCTGGAGCGAGGACGGGGGGGGGGCGTCGAGCTCAAGCGGGGGGGGGGATCCACGGAGGAAGCTCGAGTGGGGACGGAGGGGGGGGTCGAGCTCAAGCGGGGGGGGGTCCAAGAAACCAGGGAGGGCAGCGGGGGGAGGAGGGACGTCGTCGTCATCATCGTCCGTCGTTGACCTGGTCGTCGGTCGTCGTCGTCGTCATCGTCCGTTCCCACACGCATCGGGAGCGCCCCGGATCGGCGGCACTGGCCGGAGGCCATTACAATACATAACGGATCGAAGCTGTAGCAGTCCTTACAAAAAAGCATAAGCGACATAATCCTTACTAGAGAATCGTTACAAGGGAATCCTGCCTAGGGGATTCCTCACCAAGAAACTCGGAATCAAGGAGTACCTTCGAATCATGATTGAGGGAATGGTTCCCAAGTGATCCTTACGAAGGGGAACCTTACCTAGTAACCATTCTTGAACGAATCCTTACGTCCTACCCGCTTCTGAAGAACACCTTACTAAATATCCCTCACTGACAAGAACCTTACCAAAGAATCCTCCTTCGGGGGCCGTTATTAAAGAACCGCTACATAAAGAACCCGCAGAACTCCCTCAGGGATCATGAGGGGCCCTTCGGAATCCCAATGCATGCCAAGGACTCCTTGCGTTGTCATCGGCCCGATAAAAAATTATAACCAGCTGCGCTCGCCATCAGGAGCCCCTTAGCTTCTGAGGGAATCATTATTAAATATTCCGTGCTCAAGAACCCCTTACCAATGGATCCTTAAACAAAGGACCCTCGCTGAATAACAAATACTGAAGGAATCCGTGAAATTCCACCGGGAATCATAAAGTACCTTTCGGAGCCCCTAAGAATACACATGAACCCTGACGCTGCAACCAGCCCAAAGTAGTTGCTTGAAAGCCTTGCGCAATCCCCAGGAACCCATGAAAGGCCTCAAGAGCCCAAGGGATTTCTACGGGAAGAGTTCCTTCAGGATTCCCTCCGCAATCCATGAGAAATCCCGAAGGATTGCCGTCGGGTCCCCTCGGGGACCCTTCTGAAAACCCGCACGAATCCCTCGGGAAGTGTCCTGGCATCCTGTATAATTCCTCCGGCAATGCCCTGGGAACCCCTGAGCGAACCCGAGGAACCTTCGAGGGGTCCCTAAGCAATCCATCTGGAATCCCTCAGTACGCCACAGCGAAGAGAAAAGCATCGCCAAGGTGACAGAGACAGAGACAGAGACAGAGAGAGAGAGATAGAGTGAGAAAAGAGAGAGAGAGAGAGAAAGAGAGAGAGAGAGAGAAAGAGAGAGAGGGAGAAGGAGAAACAGAAATAGAAAAAGAAAGAAAGGAGAGGAGAGAGAAAGAGAGAGAGAGAGGGTTGCTTTCCAAATTGGCCAAGAGGCTGGTCCACGGGATCCCCGCGGCAACGATCTGCCCATGTGGAAAGACCTGTGTTTGGGGAAGACCCAACCCGTAGACTGCGTAGCAGGGGGTAGAACGGGACAGGAGGAAGAAGTGGAAGAAAGAGACGACCGACCATAGGGTTCCAACTCAATCCCGCCTTTTTCACCGCTATGGGAAGTACGACAACTGATTACCGCTTGCCCCGGTCATCGTCTACTGAAAAATGTACCCCCGTCCCAAATTTGCGATGATCACGATTCCTCTTCTAACTGACAACCCAATTACATGTTGTTGGTATAAGTATCACTATCATTATCAACCCCTACCTACAACCATCTCGAGGTGCTTTGCGTACAAGCACCCGTGCCATTCTCATTCAACCACGCATGTCACCCATCACGCCGGAATCAAACATGGCGCCGGCGCGCGCGCCCCAAACACTTCAGGGGAGCCACGCAATCAACCAAACGCACATGGCCATGCAATGTTTGACGCGCTCTCGCGTTCTCGGCCCGGGGCGAGAAGGCGCCCGGATCCGGGCGGCAGCGAACGGCGGCAACAACCCGCAAAACACTCACTCGCTTCAACTCCATGTCGCACCCTTGAAACTTCGTCGCGAGCCAAGCCGCACGCAGGCGCCCCCCAGCTGGAAGGCGACCCCGCCTGGATCTCGGGCGCGGGGCACGCGGCAGACATCCCAGCGGGGGCTGAGCCAGGTACTCGCCATCGCTCGGACGTCCATTCCATGTGTTTTTGTTGGTTTCGTGCGTGGTTTTTTCGCAAAATGATCAAGGATGCTCCTCGATGGTCTTCGCCGAAGAAAAAATGCACACGTCCGAGCGATGCCAAGGGTAACGGTCCACGTCCGTTGTTTTGGTTGGCTTTAGAAAACCAGAAAAATCTTCATTCCCGCGCGCGCGCACGAACGCCCAATCTCCAAACAAGGGCGGCATTCTTGGGACGGAAGGCTTCTGTGCCTTCAGGGTCGAACCTGGATCGGGCGCGCGATTTCGCGCACCATTGCACCAGGCATGAGCCAGGAAGCCAGCAGGCATACATTTTGCCAAGCCATCAACGGCCATACTGCCCGCATCTACCCAGCGGGTCTTGTCGCAAAGTTGGGCCAGGCGGAGAACATCGACCTCCTCACCTCTCCTCGTCCATATATCTTGCAACAAAATCGAGAGATAAATTGATAGGCGCCTGTCTTCCGCGTTCTCAGTGGCCGACGCCATTGAGTCTTCTTCAAGGCTTCTGCAAGCGGCTAACCATGCATATCGTGCGGTAGTGGTGGCGTTGTTTCCCAGTTGATTTTTCCAAATTGGGATCAAGTTTACGCTCGTCGCCAGATAGTCCTCGCGCTTCTGCCATCGCGGACCGACGCGCGCGCCAGATCCCCCCCCGCCCCGCCCCCCGCCCCACCCCCCCACCCCCACCCGCCCACCCACCCCACCCACCCCACCCCACCCCACCCCACCCGCACAAACGTGTCAGGACTTCAGCTGGCAACGTCGGCTTGCGCCCGCGACGGATCACCTTGAAATTCGTCTGGTCTAGCACGGTCCAACCCACTTTGAACTCCTGATGACTCACGATGACATCCCAACTTCTTGGCGCTCCTGAGTTCCTCCTTAGATCGGCCCTTCGTGGCCTCTCGTTCGCTGAGGAAACCCACCAATGCGTCCTTTGGCTCGATTGCATCAGATGCCGTCTTTCTCTGGAGCATATTACCAACGGTTGTGGGTGGCAACACCTGCTGACTGATATGTGAGGCTGCCTGGCAAGAGGGCAGGGCCACACTACCAGCGCATCCAAAATCTGATGTCCAAGGCTCGGGCTCTACGTATGACCATTGTACTTGTGGGACCACCAGGAATCCTGAACCTGTAATTCACCGTCTAGACCAAGCTCCGAGCAGCGGTGACGTCGGCTCGGGTGCCGCTTCGGACGCGGAGGCGGAAGCCTCTGGGCCTGCGGCCGATGAAGCGGGCCCTGCTTCGTGCGACCGTCTGCGCATGACCTCACTGCTGGCGCGTCGTCCAGCAGTGTCCGCTGGCGGCGCAGCCTTGACAACTGGCCCTGTGGCCTCAGCTGGAGGAATAACCTCCTCCTCGTCGTCGTGTTCCTCGCCCACGTGCATGGGCTGAGGATTTATACCCAGAAATTTTGCTGAGTCCCCTGGCCCCTCTGGAAGCACGGGGCTTCTCCAGACCAGCCGGTGGAGCAGCACTCAGCCCTTGCAAATCTCGTCGCCCGTCGACGAAGGACCGCCGTTGGTCATCGGACGGTGCATGAACCTGCGTCTCCAGCTTGCGCTTCGAAAGATCCTGGTGGGCCAATGCCTCCACGGCCGTGCAGGGACGAAGCCGGTCAATAGCCACAAATACTGGTGCGCCTCCGGTTCTCACCCAAGCGTTCGTTTCGGGGATGGACAGACCTCCTTTTAGTAAAACGTGGTTTAGTGAAAACGACCTGAGGCCCAAACCTGGCGGGCGCAAGCCTGGAAAATAACGGCCGCGGCGCCCTCTCGAGAACCGAAAACGGACAATTCACTAATCGACGTGTCACTGTTGGGGGTTCTGTCCACCCCCGATCGTTGTTTCCACCGAATCAAACAGTGCGCGATCCCGTCCTCCACTTCGCGGTGACTTCTCCGTCCGTAGGGCGTCTGCGGCAACAGACGCCATCTCCGACCCGGTAGGTCGCCCGCCAGCGGCAGCTCTTCACGGGGCATGGCTCCAGCTGTCCTGCCGCCTACATCGCTGCCTGTGCAGATGCTTTCCTGACGGCAACGCGTGTCGACTGCCTGCCTGGAGAACGCCTCTGAACCATCTCCCGCTACGTTCGACAGAGTACCGAGATCAAGCCATTCTTCATCATCAGATTCACTCCCTGGGACTCGCGGCAATCGTCCAAGTGCCCACTGGGTTGGAGGGAAGCCTCCCACCCTGGACAGATCGTTCTTGGTGTTGTCAATTGCCATGGCAGTGGCTTTACCCTCGTCGAGTCCTGTGATGTTCTGATCGTGGACAGGAGTATCCACATGACAGACAGCAGTGAGCAGCAACGGCCAGCACTGCCTTTCCTGCAGCTCTGCGAAAAGGAAGAAAAGGGCGGCTGGGGCGGAGGAGGGAGGCGAGAACAAGGGAGCAAAGGGGAAGAATGAGGACGAGGAGGGCGGGGGGAATGGAGGAGGGGGTGGGAGGAAAAGAAGGAGGAGGAGGAGGAGGAGGAGAATCGAGGAGGAGGAGGGAGGAGGAGGAGCAGGAGGAGAAGGAGGAGGAGGAGGATGAGGAGGAGGAAAACGAGGAGGACGAGGAGGAGGAGGAGGAGAAGGACCAGGAGCAGGAGAAGGCCGAGGAAGGCATGCTCGATCCGCGCCCTGGGCGCACGCACAGCTTCCCCCGGGCAACGGCGCTGCTGCCGAGCCACGTCCGCGGGCCATCAGCAACGCCTGTGCGCTCCGATACTCGCGACACAAAAAAGACAGGTCTGCTGCGCACGAGAACCAGAGACCTGCTCGAAAGGTCTCGGCGGCCCTCCAATGGACCTCCGCGGAGACCCCGTGCCGAGACTCCTGCGGAGACCTCTGGAGACCTGCACCTCTGGGGACCTCCGCGGAGGCCTCCGAAAACTTCCTCCTCCTCCTCCTCCTCCACCTATGGGGCGTCGAGTCCTGATGGGTCCATGCTGGTCACCCGCCGCACCGCCGCGATGAACATGATCTGCACTCCCAGCGACCGCGCCTGGCGGCCCACGCGTCCGTGCGCTCGCACACTCCTCTGGCTCCTGCTCACTTGAACTGTGAGCCTGGGGGAGCATGTGGGGGGGGCCAAACTTCATCTGCTTTCGGCTTCGGTGCCTCGTTGCATCGCAGGCGGCCTGCGTAATCCCGCCCATTTTGAATCAGCATACTACCCATTCAGCGCCCACGCCTGGACCCCTGCAGTTGATTACAACATCTGTCGATCACATAACGTCCTCCCCGAGCCTCCCTCCCCTCTCGCCTCCCCTCCCTCGTCCTTCCCTCTCCCCTTATACGTCAGCTGTAATGGCCAGGTCGCTTCTGATATTGCACTTTGCCCATGGCGGCCCGATGTGAAAGACACAACAGGAGTCCCGATGCAAGCACCACCTCTTCCATTCACCATCCCCTCCTCTCGTGCTCTCCAGCTGCTCTCCCGCCGACACGCACTCTCTTCCTGTGGTGCGAGCCCCCTCCTTCTGCGCCCTCTGAATATACACTGTCTGTCTTCCTCCTCTTACCACTATTCCTCCTCCTCCTCATCCTCCTCCTCCTCCTCCAAATCATCATCAGCATCATCCGACATGGATCCAGGAGGGGCCACGGCGGCCAGGGGAGGCCCAGTCGCACACAGGCGCACGGTCTCTCGAAGGGAGCTTTGGCCCCCGCCTCGGAACAGAAGCGATGTCAGCGCGGGGACCGCGAGCGAGGAACCCTGGAGGCGCGCACAAGGGGGCAGGAGGAGAGGAACAAGGCGTCTTGGAAGGAGGCTGCTTCTTAGAATGCGCCGGTTACACCTACAGACAACGGCCGCGCCTTCTGAGAACCACGGGTGCTTTTAAAACGACTTCCCCCCTCCCCCTATCACCCTCTGCGCGTGGCCGAGAACCCTCGTCGCGAAACAGCACACAGAGGCCTCTCACATGGGATCCGAGTAGATGGGGTTGGAGGGTCGCGCAGTACAGCAAATGTATCGCCGATGCATCGGCGATGCGTCGGCGGTGTCGGCCATGCATCAGCGCCATTGGCGTGGAGACAGTCGGACTCCACATCGATCCGCCTCGGCGATGTACCGACGATGAGGCGACATCCTCCGACCCCAGCCGCTCGCGTCGCTGTCAATCTGGTTCAGTGCCCGCGAGGAGGAGGACGTGGAGGAGGAAGTGAAGTGAAGTCAGAAGTCCAGGATCCGAAGAGGCCCCGCGGGGGGCAGGACGCCGAAAAGGCATCGGTGGCGTCATCCTTCGACGAATCGCTCGCAAAACTCCGCGTGCGACGCCCACTCACTTCGGCGGCGAGCGAGGGGGGGAAGTGAGAAGGGGCGGGCCTTGTCATGAGAGGTGTCCTTCCCCTTCCCCGAAGGCACAGACAACTTCTCAGCTTCTCAGGAGCCTGGGTGGCGTCTGGGAAGTCCCGCCGCCTCCTGAGAAGGCCCTCTCCTTCTCACTTCCCCCCCTTCGCTCGCCGCCGATCGGTGCGCTTCCCCGCCGCGCGGGCCCGCTGCCGCCACGCTCCCTGCTTCGCACGGCACCCTGGCGTGTGAAGGGGGCGGGGCCCGGCCGAGCGAGGCGCCTGCACGGCCAGCCCGTTCCCCATCAGCGAGCGCAGGCGCTTCTGGGAGGGGAACGAGGGCGGGCCGTCGAGGTAGCCTCGGCGAGGCGCGCGCATGGGGGAGGGAGGGAGGAGTTCGGCGGCGCGCCCGGGAGGAAGACAGGGGGGGCGAGCCTCCTCAGCTGGAGGCCTCGATCATGGGCGCTGGCTCCAGGGGCGCTTCAAATCTTCGGAAGACCACTCATGCCTACTCCTCTGTGGGCCTGGAGCTCAAGCGTCGGGCTCGGATGATGCCGCAGGCGAGACGACCCAGTCTGTGCGAGGGCCGATTGTCACAGATGCGTCCCGTCCGGAAGGCCCAGGAGGCTTCCAGTCTTCTAAGAAACGTTGTGCCGCTTTACCTCCGAAGCCGCAGTTGGGTTTCTCCGAAGGCCGGACATAAGGGGTTCTGAAAAGTTTCGCCGCCTTCTGAGAAGCGGCACCTTGTACCTATGGTGGGCCACCTGGGGGGGGGGAGGGGCAACCATTGTTTGAGGAGAGCCTCGGAGGGCCGAACCCCAATAACCCCAAGATAAGGCCTTAAGAGGGCCGCAGGATGTCCCAGAAGAGCTCCTCACGGGACACAACAAGCCCAGGGCGGCAACACGGCCCAAGATAGCCGAATGGGAGATTCGGTTCGTTTCCCCGCACCTCCTGCGCGTGGTTGACACATTTCGTGCCCCTGAAGGAACTCCAAAAACAGCCCAAATCGGAAAGCTTGAATGCGCCCCCCCTCCCCTCCCCGCCCTCCCCCCCAACCCCTCACTTCCCGCACGCGCACCGTGAATAAACAGGTTCACCGCCAACGTCACATCCAGCTGCTGAGGGCTAAGGGTTTGGCAAATCGCCAGGCCAGACATCCCCCCCCGATCACGGCGCCCTGCACGTCACACGTACTGGCGCAATGCTTCAACGCCCCTCTGCATGCGCATCGTCCGTCAGCAGGGGTGCGTCTCCGAAGATGGCACGGCCGAGCCCAGACGCGACTGGCCACTCAAACCGATGCGCAAGCCACCCGGTATCCTATATGATCCGCCGTGTCGCAGCTAGCTGCGCGCGCAGATTGCGAGCATGCCCCCGCGCCGCAGTGGTACATGCGAAGCTGTTGCAACCATGGGTCGGGGCGGTTGCCGCGATGCCCGTCGCCCTTCGAACCCTTGGTGGGCCCGTGGTGGCGGGCCCTGGCCCTTCGAGTTGCCGCCCACCTTCTGCCCTTCGTCGTCGGACCCCCACGTCGACCTCCGACGCATTGCGCGACGCGTGCCTGCATCATTTCTCGGGCCCACCTGCCGAGACCAACTGCATTGCCGCCGCAACAGCCCTTCGCCCTATCGCAGCCGCCCCGCTGGTCGTCGCAATCGCCCGCGATGGCGTCGCAACCGTTCCGTTCGCCCGCCGCGGCTGCGGCGCCCGCCTGCCGCGCCGCGCCTGCACTGGAATGGCGCTCGCTTCGTTCGCGCAGAGGCCCACTCGTCGCCGCGGCGCGCGCTGCGAGCGCCATCGCGGCGGCGGGCGACGGGCGATTGCGCCGCGGGCGCTCGCGGCGAAACGCGACGCGATGCGCTGTCTCGCGGCCCCGCGCGCCGTCGCGCGCGTTGGCAATGCGCGGCGCGAACGGGCCCGATTGCGCGATCGACGGCGCCGCTGGCACGCCGCGCCGCTGGGGCGCGACGGCAAAGCAATCGCGCTCGCGAGGGCACCGCGTCCGCGCTTGCGCCCGCGGGCGGTTCGGCAACGCTGCCCGCGCGGACGCGTCGGGGCGCGCGCGGCTGCGCTCGGCGGCCGGCCGAGACGCGGCGCCGTCGCGGCGCGCCCGCCGCGCATGATCAACGAGCGTCGTCGCAATGGAAATCGCGGGCGACCCGCAGAAAACGGGCGCGCCAGCCGCGGCCGATGCCCCGTGGGAGCAAGCTGGCGCACGCCGCAACGTGCCGCGCGCGCGGGCCGATGTCGACGGCAAACCCAACATTGGCGCGACGCGCTGCTCGCGCGGCCCAGCCGCCCCAGCCCGACCGACCCCGCGCAGCTGCGGCGCCGCGCATCGCGCGGCAGCGCGTCAAGCAGCGGGCAGCCGCCGCGCTTCGCCGCGCGCGGCGCGCAGGGGCGACGCGGGCGAGCGGGCGGGGCGCCTGTCGCTCGAGGGCAACGCGGCCGCGCGTCGGCCGTCGCCGCGTCGGCAGCTCGGGAGGGGGCGCGAGACCCACGCGGCGGCGTCGCTTCCGCTTTGGCAGCGGCGCGACGTGGACGCGGCGGAAGCGAGGCAGCCGCGGCGCGGCCGTCGGCCGACGCGCTGCGAGGCCTGCCCGCGGCGGGCGAGACTTGCAGCTGGGAGGGGAAGGCGTCGCATCGCAAGCTCGTCGCGGCCCTGAAGGCGCGGCGTGCTTGGCGCGCGCCGAATGCGCAGAAACGCGGCGCGCGCTCTGGGGCACCCTGGGCCCCAACAGCAGCAGCAATCCCGCGATCGGGCCACCGCGCGGCATTCGCGCGAGGCCGCGCGACGGCGGCCGCGGCGGCGAGGGCGCGCGGCGACGCGCCGCACGCGGCGCCCTGCCGCAAATGTCAATCCTGCCCGCGAAAGCAAGACTGCCGCTGGAGGCCGCAATCGGAGCCGCCACTCGGCGGCTAGGAACGAGCGCGCTGCGCCCATCGCGCGGGGCGCGCATCGAATGCCAAGCGCGATGCACCGCGCGCGATGCGGCGCGCCACCCTTGCTGCGCGCGCGGGGAGGGGCGCGGCGCTGCGGGGCGGCGGCGGCGCGGGTCGCGTTCGCCGTCGTTTGTCGTCGTCGCGCGCGCTCTCCTTCTCTGCGGCCCCCTTTCGCGGCCCCCATTTCCTGCTAGACCGCGCCGCCTGCGCGCGCCGCAATGCTGACGAGCGCCGCAGCGCCAGCGCGCGCCACAGTGCACGCGCGCACATCACTGACTGAGCGCAGAGCATTGCCGCGCATGGCGCAGCGACGGCCCATGTCAGCGCGGCCGCACGCACCGCGGCTCGCGGATCACACTTCGCCCCCCCTCTCCCACCCCACCCCACCCCTGCGCAGCCATCCTGCCAGCGCCGCCGCCCAAGACTGACAAGGCTGGAGCCGAAACGGCACCGGACGCGCCCAAGACTGCCCCAGGAACCGACCCACTTGGGCCCCAAGAGGGGAGGCCGCAATTTGGGCTTGAATCGAAGGCCCCTACCAGGAAGCGCCAAGGGGCCCCCAGGAAGCACCAATGGGCCCCGAGGGATCCCGAGAAACCCGCTAGACGCATCCAAGGTGCCCGACGGAGGCCCCGACCGGCCCCACCGAAACCCAAGAGAAGCACGTGGCGCTGCGCCCTAGGGACGCCCGACAGGCACCCGGAGCGCTCCGAAAGGCCCCCCCCCGTCCGCTTCACGAGACCCCATCGAGCAGCCAGGAGGCCCCGCCGCAACCCAGGCACGGCGATCCTCCTCATCGTCCGCAACCTCCTCCTCCACCTCCCCATATCCCCCCCCCTATCCTCCTCCTCATCCAGCTCCCCCCATCCCTCCTCCCCTATCATCCTTCTCACCTTGTCATCCCCCTTTCCACCAATCCTCCTCCTCCCTCTCGCCCACATTCCCCCCCTTCCCCGTCGCCCCCCATATCCCCCCTCGCCCCACCCCCGCGCCCCCTCCCCCTCCTCTTCCACGCCCCCGCCCACCTCCTCCAAGTGTTCCAATTGCACAATTCCCCCTCTGCCCGCCCTGTGTCCCGATCCTGCGGCCGAGCCATCAGCTCGTCGTCGCCGTCGGCGCCTTCCACTGGGTCGGCGGCGCTCGGCGCAATGCCTTCTGGGTCGGCGGCGCTGGCCGCAAGGCCTTTCAATGGCAAGTGCAACTCAACAAGATCATGAACCTAAATGGAGGAGGCTGGGGGGCCAAACAAGAGGCGACCCGGTCGCGCTCGGACCGCGAGGGGACGGCCCGGGAACTATGGCCATGAGGAGTGGCTCGGGAGGGCGCAGGGAAAGCCTCGGGAGCTTCGGGGGAGGGGGTGGGGAAGCATTTCTGTTTGAGGGGGGGGGTCCCGATGAAATGAAAAAACGGTGGTCTCCCCCCTTCCCCCCCCGCCCCCCTCTCTCCCTCTGGCCAGACTGGCTCGCGCGGTTTTTGCCCCGCGTGGCTTGAGGCGGAGGCAGGTGCTGCGTCTGCGGGCCCCCGCCTGGATGGGTTCGCTCTGTCGCCGACATTGCCGGCCCGCTGCTTGGAGGCGAGGGCGGCGACCGCGTCGAGACCCAGGCCCGACGCCTGCTGCCGCGCGCGCCTCCGATCCTCGCGGGGCGGCTTCCAAGCACGAACGTGGCCCCGACGCTCGAGGCCAGCATCCTCCGCGACCTCGAGCCAGCTGCAGAGAAGGCCCAAGCATCGGCCCTTGGCCCCGTTAGCTGCACTGGGCCTCACTGACCGCGCGAGAAAGCAGCCCGGCCCAGCCGGGTGTGATGCCACAAGACACTGCGCCACCATCACCTTCGTCGTGTCATAATATATGATGGTGCCGCCGTTGTAGTGCCACACCAGCTCAGCTGGGATCTTGCCGACGCCCCTCGGCACGGGCGCAGGCGCAGCTGGCTCGGGCGGCGGGCGGGCGCCAGCGCCGCCAGCGGGCGGCTCGGCGGGCGGCGGAGGCCCCGCGGGCGTCGGCAAAGGCGAGCCGTCGACACCGAAGACGACGCCGATCGCAGATCCGATGGCAGCCTCGATTGCCTCGCGTCCGCCGTCGCCGCCGTCGGGCATCGCGTCGCCCCCGCCCTCGCCCTCGCCGCCGCCCTTGCCATCGCCGCTGCCCTCGCGCTCCGAGGGGCCATCGGCGCCCGAGGCGCCCTCTGAACCATCTGAGGATGCCGCCTCGGGGTAGGGGGCGCAGTCGCCGCCCCCCCGTCGGCGTCTGAACTCGACGGCGAACTCGATGACGGAACCGAGCTGCTCGACGAGCTGCCCGAAGGCAGGCCTGGGCCAGCAGAAAGCCTCGCCCGCCCCCCCCCCCCCCCCTGGCACTGCCGAGAGGCCCGCGCCCCCAGCCTCGACCCCGACGCCCTCGGCCTGTCCGGTG